AGACATCTGTTCCGAAAATGCTCAGAATAATTTGGTTATGTTTTTTTTTAAACTACTTTTTAATATAAATGTATTTCAATGCCATCTCATTGGATCTGTTTAATGATAAAGATTATTGTTATATTTAGATTTCATTATAGTTTAGAAAAATTCAGAAAGTAGTATTTCTTAATTTGGGATTACAGTAGCAAGGAAAAAAATTGTAGTCTTAAAACGTACTCACAGTTAAGGTGGAGATGTGGACTAGTGGTCGTGGGCTTGCCTGGCACGTATGGGACCCTGGATTTGATTTCTAGCACTGTCAAAAACCATAGTGCACCTAATATTTATATTATTTGAAATAAATGTTGTAGGTAAAACTATCAATATCAGATAGGATTCTATATGTATGCATTTTATATATACAAATAAATATTTGAACCTGCACACTCATCCACCAACTGGCCATTCAGTTACACACTGCTTGTGGATAATTACCTGCCTACAGGCTATAACTTGTTTTAAGAGCTTGTCATTTCTTTCTTAGTCCATTAATCCCATGAAAGGGGAGATGTAGTGCTGTGGAAAAAGTGTTGAGTCAGAACCCTTACAGTATAACCATATTATCTGCCTTGCTTTGCTTAGAGTAGCTATGAAGGTTAAGTGAAAGTTTTTTTTCACATCAAAGCATCAACATTATCACTCTACCTGAGAGTAGACTATTAATATTAACTTAAACAACTTAAGTCATTCTCCATTTGATGCCAAGGCATAATGGTCTTGGTTTTCTTGAGCCCACTTCTACAATATTTGAAACCATTTTCAATTAAAGTTTATAATGTTTATTTTCTCATTAAAAATCATGATTATTATTCCCAGTAGCAATGAACAATATCCTGTAGGGGCATCTCTTCTGCGTGTTGCTCTCACATGTACATATTAGCCAGTGTATGTGCACACTCTAATGCACGTATTTCACATAGTATGTTATACACATGGAGACACAAAAGGGGATTAAAAAGGGGGGGGGATGAACTATAATGCACTAAATGTCCTCACACAGCTCATCCCCGAATGGTAAAATATCTCTATTCAATCACAGAAGATACATACTCTTTTAAAAAGATTAAAATATGGACCCTTTAGTCCCAAGGCTTAGAAGGGTCCTTGGCCAGTTAACATTTATACAGCATGCATGATGCTAGATCTACACAATTTAACCGCAACCACTCCAGTTCATCTCTAAGATGTACAATTATTTGTATGATAAATTTTATTAGCAAACATTAGTATCAAGGTCATCTTTAGGTCATTCATATTTCATACATACACAGGCAAAACTGCTTAAGTGCTTGAAGGTCACACAGAACCGTAGAAGGATCAACATCCTCACACTTTGCATTCTGCCTTTTAATCTGTATTTCCAAATTTTTCTTGCCATTCTTTTACTAAACATGTAGCAAACAGGGGGGGCTAGAGTTGGTATCTAAAAAAAAAATAATTCTCCCTAGAATACAGCGAAAAGATTGCAATGCTAACCCACTGACAGATGCTGGAACCAGGCCTTGACCCGCTTCAAAGGGACATCAGGCGTGATCCCATAGGAGCTTTTGGCCCTGCTACTATATAACAGTTATTTCTTTGGGATAAGGGATTTTCTAATTATTTCAAGGACGTAAAGCCAAAAGTACTGCAGGGAAGATATAGAGGGTACTGCACGTGGGGATATGGGTCATACAGTAACACAGCATGGCCAGCATGTTGAGAGACTCTGGGATTCTCCTCTACCAAGCACAAGGCGATATACACTGTTCTATACCCTCATAAATCGTTTGTGGCCAGATGATTGAACGTTCTCAGGACTGGAGTTTCTTGCAGCTATTTGGAGGCAGAGTTCTGTGCTTACCTGGTGCCCTCTCTTCCGGAGCCCACAGCTCTCGTTACCTGCATTCTTGCCTAAGGTGGTCATTTCGATGGCAGTACTGCTCTGGTATAGCAACCCCGCCCCCGCCCCCTGCTCCATATGCTCTAGCTGTCTGCAACGTAAAATAGACAAAGCTGCCAAAAACTATACTAAACTCTTGAGATAACTTTCAGTTCAAAATAAAAAAAAATCTGTCAGATTTGGGGCTAATAATTACTGATGATTTAGACACAGTATAGTTCATTATAAGCTACCTCACAGAAAATACTAGAGCTACTAGAAAAATATTAGAAGGATTCTTTTAAATTATATCAGATTTTTTTTTAAGTAACAATACTTAGAAATAAAGCAAGTTCCCACTCAAAAGACCACAGCTAACTTTCATCTTGATGGTGCTTTCCAAATCAGTGAATGTCAGCTAAAGCCCAAGGTCTGGGGGACTGCCATAAAAAGCAGAGAGCCTCAATATCAAAATGCACATAAACACTCCCAATGGATGCTGGGAAAATGGCCCAACCAAACCTTGCCTCTACAAAGCTGAGGAGAGGGCCATTAGATGGCACATTTTGTCATCAGACATCAAAGTCCCAGAGGTATTACAATAATGAGCCTCACTAATGGATGCCACAAAAAAAAAAAAAAAAAAAAAAAAGCCCCATAGAATGTTCCATGTTGTTAATGGTCCTGTGAACAGGGATAGGTGTCCACTCGGGCTTTCTTTTAACCCATGCCTCAGACAATTCCCTCGCGTAGAGATTTCAGAGATGTGAAATCACAGCATTAAACCACACAACACAGAGGGAAGTGAAGTCACAAAACAAAACAAAACAAAACAAAACAAAAAGCCAAGGCGTCTGACACATATGAGTTATTCTAGAATATCAAGAAAGCGTGACAGTTATGTTTTAAGAGTCAAAGGTGACCTAAGGGCAAGCCAGGAGAAGCTGGATGGAGGCGGGGCTCAGCGCCTCAGTGGATGGGCTGAGCAGACACATGGTGCAGAAGGGCAAAGGGTGTGGGCAAGTGACAGAGCAGGCAGAGAGCTCGGGGTGCGGTCCAGAGAGAACAGAGATGACCAAGGTCAAGCGTAGTGACACACAGGACACAATCAGAGACTCTTAACCCCACCCTCCTGGAGCCATCCGCACAAGGGAGAAAGAAAACAGAGCAATGTGTGAAAATACAGTGGTTGAGAGCCTTTGCCAAGTGCTGAGGGACAGCTGTGTAGTTATGGGGGAGTTCGGAGACCCAGGAAGCCCAGGACATACCAATTACAGTGAAGGTGCAGCACATAAAAAGAAAAAAAACAAAACAAAACTATTAAGAACATTTTTTGCAGGTAACACGCCCATCACACGCCATGACACGTTTCGGACCTTTATTGCTGTCCGATTGTACCTCCTGTCTCCAATGACTTTTCCAACGTGTCCCATAGCAAACCTTGACTCACTCGGGGAGGGTGTGTAAAACGTCCGAAGAAGCAAGCATTTCCCCCTCTGAGTTGGACACCTTATTGCTAGAACAGAAGCTTCTCATCAGTAGGGGTATTCTCAGTAACTGTTGAATTCAGTGAATAAAATGTTGAGAGGATACACTGAGTCTTTCTGTGAACCCTTTCCTTATTCCACGGTGCCAAAATTATTTATTCTCTCAACATCTTTACCTACTACACCTTAACTGTTGCATTACCGCTACACACTGGACCCTATGCGGCCCCAAGAGGTCATGTGACGAAGCTTTATGCCCAGGACGGCACTCCTGGAGGCTTTGGGAATGTGGAGGCAGGGTCTCGTGTGCTGTGCATGTGGATTCTGGTGGGAGGACCCCACACCATCGAGGGTCTGACCTGGAACAGGGACTCTGGCCACAGAACACACTCCCTTCTTTGTTCTCTCTTGTGTCCCACACAGAAGGGGGGAGCAGTTTATCTCAACACGTGTTACTACCATCATGTCAGCAGGCTGTACAGGGCCAGTGGGTGCTGGGCTGCAGGGATTTACTACAACAGGAAAAATGGCTGATGCAATGGTGATTATGTTTTAATAACTGTCTCCTTCACTGCACACGAACCGGAGGGTGAAGATCAAATGTAACTACTTCTCTTCATCCTGGCTGCCACACCCTGCAACAGAAAGGCAGCACAACGCGCCCCGCAAGCCTGCTGGCTGACGAAGACAGTGGCGGGGGACCGATACTCTGAATCCTGCTTTCTTTACACACATTTGCAGGAGACAAGCTAGGCAATGAAAAGAGGCAGAAAGCCCAACCCAGACGAAGAAAATGAAGCAGGCCTTGGCGAACAAGAGTGAGCGTAGTATATGAGACCTGCGGCATTAGCAAAAGAACAGTTTATCATGCTGGCACGCTATTGGTAGGTATGGAGTACGTGAGGTAGACACAAAATTGTAAATACCACAACACGCCGAGGGACAAAACGGGACGGTCCACTATCCTTAAACATTGTCATGCAGGATAAGTTAAACTGCAGGCCCCAGCCAAGCTTACGGAATTTGGTTCCATAGTGAGAATTCTATTCTGTTCACTACACTGGCAGAAGATTTCTTGATGCTAACCGGTGGAAATGAGTGACATCATCTCTAGAAAATTAAATTACTCGAGGGACTAGAATTAGTAAGCAGGCAACTTAGGATGAGTAACAACTAAAGATTTCCTTTAAAGTGTTAAAAAAAAAAACAAATCCAGTTTCTAATCCTAATGACAACACTCCGAATCACTAGGACCCCGTCTGAAATGTTTGCTAAGCCCGTGTTTCCCTGTCGAGGCTTTTCTCAAGTGTTGTTCATATTCAGCTGTTCAAAATGCTAAGGTGCTAAATTTAATTCTTAGGAAATTTATTTAAAAGTTACAAGATTTTTTTTTCTTCTCTCAGAACAAAAACAAAAACAACCTACAGAAATTCTGAGTATTTTACTACCTTTGTGCTGTGCAATCATTTGGGCCGTTGCTAAAAATAAAACAAACTACTACAGGTAAAAATGCTTTGACGAAAGACGTAAGCTAGACCAAAGGATCCTCCTGTTCTACAGGCGTGCTGGCTCTGTGAACACAGCCCTGACGAGCTCCACTGTTTACTCACTGGTTGGAGGAGGTAGATGAGAGATTCCTCTTGGATTACTACAACTGGCACAGGAGTGATGTGAGTGGCTTGGAAAAGGGTATTCACAGAGGCCATGATCTGGTCAAAGCGCCCACAAAGCCCTCCCAGGGCCACGATCATGTCAACCTGAGGAAGGAAGGTAAAACCGAAAGTCATATATATACTTGCACAATGCAAAACCACGGGTCGCATCAAATACCCAAAACAGCGTGTTCATCCCTGTAATATCCAGCAAGGAAAAAGGAAAGCGTGCATCATTCCTGCTCTACAAAGGAGAAAACGAGGTGTTGGTTCAGGGTCACTGAGCTGGACAGTGGCAGAGCTGGGTGTCAGGATACACTTCCTTATATGCAAATCCAGCCTTTACCGTCTGCCCTGGCTTTAGCCCTTCATCCATAGGTTCCTTCCATGCAGATGGCGTATCTTATTTGTTAACGTGTCTACGCAGCCAAACTCATAGACCGGTCATGAAGCACAAAGGAAGAACAGAGTTTGACTGTGGTTTGTTGCAATAACCTTGCATTCATTTTAAAACGTACATGTAACAGTCAGTCTATGTAATGCTAGTGGCTTGAAGTGGAGTATTTTGGTTGTAGGTTTTAAGACATATTAAAATTTAGATTAACATGTGGTCTTTAAAGATGGCAGGCTTTCGTAAGCACCAACAGGGCCTGCTCCATTCTGTGAGTAATTATAATTGACAGCAGCCCTAGAGGCTGCCCAGTGTTTTGGGTTTATTTATTTAACTAATTAACTTATTTATTTTATTTACTATTTTTAAGTTCTGGTGTTTTACATAGTGTTTGACACATGTAAGATGCTTAAGGCCCCAATATTTTTCTTTACATATGCGTGCACACACACACACACACACACACACACACACACACACACACACACACACACACGGGGAAGGGCGAGGGGGTAAAGGGAGAGATCACTGAAAGAGGAAATAGATGCATCATCATTTGGTGGGGATATAAAAATAATAGTGGGATAGTGGGATTCTATTAAAACATCAAAATGCAAATTGCAAGGAAGAATGAAGAAATTTGGCATGCACTCCCTATTTCTGACCTTATCCATGTTGGAAGAATGGGGAATTAAATTTAGATAAGATGCTTCATGTCATAGCTTGAGTAGTTTAAGACAGACAAACCACACATCTAAAGCACCCAGCAGCATCTTTAGAGTGAGCCCTCCATAGTGCTAATAGCTTTGTGGTTTATGGAAACAGGAAATGGGTATCATTAGAACTGCAGAGGCATCCTGAAGGTATGGGTTCTTCTTGAGGAACTCATTGTAAGCAATCCCGACACATGAGACAGTCAGCTTCTGTTGGGGATGAGTTAGGTAAACGGATTCTACTTGTCCATTATACTTTTCACAGTGAAGCCTACTCCAGTTCAGCTGAGTTAGGATTATTTGTGACCCCAGGAACACAAAAGTTAGTTTATTTTAATTGAAGGGAAATTCACTGTCATATTCCTACCCTGTGTCTAAATTCACATCAGAACCCAGGGTTGATGGAAGATTATTCTCTGTGCAGATTCTTGAATCCTTTTTAGGTTCTCAACTTTTCATTAATATGCTCTAGGCCTTGAGGGATCCTATAACCTTTACAGCTGGAATTTAATTCCCATCTTCTGCAATGGGGTAGCATGATGAATAAGTAATATCTGTAAATCAGTCGCTGAATTTTTCAGAAGCAGCAGCAAGATTACTCCTCATCACCACTCATTTTCCCGACAGGAAGTATTTAGCAAGGCTGATTAAAAACACCAGAGGATCAGGACAAGCTGCAGGTGGGTACACAGGGTCATCTTTGCATTACTTCTGAAGTTCTGCTCTTCTAGCTCTGAATGGGACTTGATATTCAGAGGGAGGAACAGACACCATCCACACGTTTATAAGATTTGCAAGGTCAGATGAAGATCTCTTCGACAATGTCAATGGGGCTGGAAGTGCAACCTACAACAGGCTATATGTGGTCTGTGTGTGTGTGTGTGTGTGTGTGTGTGGTGTGCTTCAGAGAACAGATTGTTGTAAGGCTCCAGAGAATACCTTAACTCAGGTGTTTTCAAGAAGCTTCCAGTGTCCATTTGCTAGACCTGAGCAAAAAAACCTGGTAAACAGTAGTGAAGAGAATCACTACAGTCGGTGTCAGATCTGGGCATTCCTCTCCTCAAGTCCAGGCTCCTGTATCCACTGCTTAACTATCATCTACATTTCAAGATCTATCCCGCTGCAACCACTCCAGATACAACCCACAGAATAATGGTTAAGGCTGACAATTTTTCTTCCCCCACTTGTTTTCTCTATGGATTCTACTGGCTCTATTACCAAAGCATTCTCTGCATTTCTCAGCTCACTACCACAACTCTGTTAGGCCCACGGCCAAGCCGCCAACACTTGAGAAGGAACGTGAGCCACGCTGTACCTCACATGAATTGCAATGGCCTCTAGCAGAGAGCCACTGCTTCTGCAATGATGGATTGTCTCCAGTCTATCTTAGTGTAGCAACAACAAGAACTGAACCGCGATGTCAACTTCATCATGGCTCGAAACTGTCCAGCAGGTCTGTAGTGAGTTTTACACAGACTTACAAATGCCTACAGGATTTGTTACCTGGTCATTTCTGTGACCACCACTCCTACCCCCTTTCTCCTCTACTTCCCTTCTCTGTTCTAGTCATATCGCCTTTGTCTCTCATACTGCTTAAACACACGGTGCCTTTCCATTCAAATACTTTGCTCTTTCTCTATGGAGCACATTATCCCCAGATATTCATTCGCTGGCTTTTTACTTCTGGGCTTTAAAACCCCCACCCCTCCCATAATACAATGCAATTCTAAAGTTTAATGTCCTAGCATTTCCTGTTATCACTGACAGAGACTACAATTAACATGAAGGCAGGAGCTGTCTATCTCTAGTACTTAGAACAAAGTAGGGCGCGTAAGCAGTCAGTAAGTACTTGATGAACAAACAGATGAATGAAACAGTAGAAAAGAATGGTCAACAGATATAAGTGCTGAGGAGCAGGAAGGAAGGAAGGGAGGGAGGAAAGAAGGAAGGAAGGAAGGACAGGATGAGGGCACAAAGTGAGATTGAGTAAATAGAGATTATGGAGAATTTGAAATGGTATTATAGACATGACTAAGATATGTACACGTGGGCAAAACAGAGTCACTGTGGTTTAGAAAGGTAAAGGAGAGTTCAAAGAGCACGATGTAGGTATAATGAAGGAACAATTGAAATGCATGGAATTTACCATGTACTACACAGTACTGCGAAGTGAATATCACTAACACATAATAATGAGGACCATTGCAATGGGCAGTGAGTGAGATTATCTAGTGATATTTCTCTGTGGCTTAAAAGGTCGGTTTCTTATCATTAGATTGTATGTTTGTTTCATACATACACATGCCAGCAGACACCTACTGTGCTCTCCTTTTTAACACAGTGAATACGAAAAATTAAAATAACCCTGATTGATTCGTATGTATTTCCTGCCTTCAGGTCAAGATTTTTACTAGAATTTTATTGGTTGGCAAGGCATGTGATGGTAACAAAAGTAGCCTTTGGCTTTTCAGATGTCATGACATTTAGCAAAAACCCTATCTCAAAATTCTGTGTAATCAGTTAGTGATCCAACAACAGTATCCATACCTGAATAGCCAGCTAACTGCATCCATGCTATTTGACCTCTTCAGGCTTACTTAAGGGTCTGAACTAAATTTACTACCATGTTTTTCAAGATTATTTCTTTTAGTATGGTTCCTTAGTTAGGGTTTCTATTGCTGTGAAGACACACCAAGATCACAGCAACTCTTACAAAGGAGAGCATTTAATTGGGGCTGGCTTACAGTTTGAGAGGGTTAGTCAATGATCATCATGGTGGGACACGGTAGCATGCAAGCAGACACGGTGCCGGAGAAGGAGCTGAGAGGTCTTGACCCACAGGCAGCAGACGGAGTCTGAGTCAGTCTGAGTGCAGCTTGAGCATACGAGACCTCAAAGCCCGCCCCCCACAGTGACACACTTCCTCTAACAATGCCACATCTTCTCCAACAAAGTCACACCTCCTGATAGTGCTACTCCCTTTGGGGTCCAATTTCTTCCAAACCACCACATAACGTTCTCTGTCTTTACCACTGTAAATTAAATAGTAGTTGAAATGATTTTGTTTTGAAAAATGAATGACAAACTGGGCTTTGCTTTAAATGCCCTAACAGAGCCATGCCAAGGCTGAGGGGCAGATGACACCAAGAGAAGAAGCAATTTTACTTTTCTATTAGAGCAGTAAAATCCTTTCAGGAGGCAAATGACAAGTTTTTCTCTCTTTGACCTCAAAAAGACTTAGACATAACATGCGCCATCTCCTGAAAGAACTGTGACTGTCAGCGTATTTTAATTACATTTACTTTCTAGAAATTGAATTCTGGGGATGCATAAATGGGCAGTTCCCTTGTGTGGCTCTCCCTGATAGGGTAAGCCTATAATTTAATGTACAAAGTGAGATGCTCGTGGAAGGAAAAGTGGATATTATAAATACAGAATACAGAAACAGTGACTTTGCTGTACGAACCAAGGCACATGCTTGCTCTGCTTCTGAACACAATAGCTGGTGTTAGCACAGCCAACCCAACAAAACCAAACACAAGGGTTCTAGTCAGCTTACGTGACATGCTTACCAGACCATAACTTTCAAAGATCTACCCTGCACAATGATGAGGCTTCAATAAAATTTTGAAAATTTTTGGTTCAATTACATTACATGTCCTAACTTGATTATAGAAAAGAAGATACCATCCACAGACAAAATAACTGGGTATAAGAAGGTAAAGAAATTAACTAGAGACAGGAGTGACCGATCATTTACATGATGAAAAACAGAAGAAGATGTTTCAGAGCAAGCAAAATATTTAAAATACACATGCTTTAATGGGTGCATAACATAATTCTAGCAACTGTCATGGAACAAAATGAGCCAGAGAAAGTGAACATTTTTCAGTTTTATGGCCTGAGCACAGGCTACATGGATAAGCAGAGACACTGGCAGCCTGTACAGTCATTGCCACAGGGAAGCCATTGCATTTCACCCATTTCAGGGCAGAGCACAG